TGGCTCATTCTTTTGCATATGCATCTTTCTTTTGCATATGCACACGGCTCACAACGTCTTTCAATACGTTCTCTCGTGACATACGTATACTATGGCCTATACTGTTACAGGGACGTGGATGATCTGCGTGTGCAGGGGTTCACCATCACCAACTGCACCCAGGGCGCTATTGATGCCGTGGTGCGTAACACGGCCACACTAGAACGCATGGACATCCAAGGACCAAGGTATGAGCTTAGTACTTACATGCTGTGTATAGCCTATTCTCAAGTGTGTAGTTTGAGCAGTTTTCCTTCAGGCAGCATCATTAGTATGAAGACGGTCTGTTCTAATGTTTACTCGCATGTCACACTTAACTCTACAACCCAGAGTCAAGTGTGTTGTATGAGCTCCTTTCAGGCAGCATAAGTATGCATACCATCCGTTATAAGGTTAATGTTCACTCGTCTTTGGCATCCACTCCATCACAGTTCCACGATGCTTCGTTCTGCGGTATCGCTCAGCGGAGAAAGTGCGATGGTCAACAACTGTACCTTCGATGGCAACAAACAATCAGTCTATGCTAGCTCGGCAAGTGTAAGTAGCTGTTCACTAGCCTTGTGTGTATATTTGTATTGTGAGCGTAAGAAGGTATGCATTAGTCTCACATGTGTGTATGTATATATGTATTGGAAGCGCAAATAGTTGGTCGCCAATTATATATATATATATATATATAGTTTTATATTCAGAATGGCATTGTGTGCTAACCTGACTGCCACGACGCAATACACTCCCTTTAGACTCAGCATTCGGGTGCCCCACAGTAGATACCTACCGGTGGTAGGTAAAGACTCTGTGAATATTCCAAACAGACCCACATATACCACATGCCACACCTTTTTTCTCATCACGACGACTTGTTTGTATCTGCAGAAAGGTGGTGCGTTGCGAATGGACATGGAGAGGGCCGTGTTGATCAACAACGCATTCACGGACAATGCCGCGGTGGATGGCGCAGGAGTGTATGCGGAGGGACATGTGACTGCCGAGGACTGTGTGTTCGCCAACAACTCGTGCAGAGAGGTATATATATATATGTACTCACACACACACACACACACACACACACACACACACACACACACACACACACACACACACACACACACACACACACACACAACACACACACACACACACACACACA